GGCAGTATTCATGGATGTCCCATCCCATTTCCTCCCCAACCCCACTTATCCCAATATGTCTGACTGGTCAGAGCTGCCCCTTACAGAATAGCAAACCAGATCAGCCCAATTTCTTTCCCACCTGTGGAAAAGAAGTGAGCTACACTTCCTCCTCTTTCTCTTTGACATCCAATTACATCTTAAAAGACCAATCTGAAATAATAGATTAATTGGAAAATTTTCCCTCCCTTCTCTCTGCTTTCCCCCACTAAATTGTTTTCAACCCATCTGAGTGTTTCTCTACCTTTACTAGGTGCCACAAATTTGCCAATGCTCTTCAGCAATCCCTGTTCCTCTTCTCTCATTAGGGTTTTAAGTCCCAGATGCAGGTTCTCTGCTTCCAGAAGGATTTTTGACAATGAGCACAATTATTATTGACTTGGTTTACTTGGTAACAGTAGGCAGTGATTTTATGTACTGGGCCATTGGGTCTGGCCTTGGCAAGTTAGCATCTGAAATCTTTGTTTCACTGTTCTTGAGTAAAAAATCAATAGGAATACCCTGTGACATTGCCACTGTCAGAATTACAGTACCTTATCTGGTGTCCTTATTGATTCCAGCTACAGACAGAGCAATGCAGCTTATTATTGTCCCTTTTGCCTATACTTGTTTGTCTCCCAGCTCCTGATTGGACTGCGCCAGCCAAAATTTAACCAGGTTACAGATAGTCAGAGTTCCTGTACCTCTCACATGTCTCCCCATTGATTTGCATGTCCTGATGCCAGTGGGATCTGATCTGATTCTATTCTGGAAGTTACAAAAAACTTATGCAGAGGTTTGGGGTCTGAATTCTGACACATGTATACCCCACATTTCTTGTGCTTCCACTCACAGGATTAGCTTGCTGCATAGTTGGTGCAATCTCCCTATTGTCTATCCAGCCTGAGGTTGCCATGGGATATAACCAACTCCCTGATGTATGGCTATATGATAACTCACTCCCTTGTTCCTGCCAGATATACACCTCTTTCTGGTCCCCACTTATGCTCTCTCTTTAAAAATTGGCTGTCTTCAACAGTTGGTCTGAAGTTGATGTTCTCCCTGGTTTGGGTTTACCCAATTTACGTCTGTAGGAAACACTCCATACTCCCCTCATGGGTCCCAGGAAGGGACTTCAAACAGAAGTTTCAAGGCAAAGGACAAATGCTGGCAGTATTTTCAGCTCTTCTCAGAGTACTGGCTGGCTAATTTGTCCCAGCCCCTGCAATTTTTCCACTACAGAGTTAACTCGGGATTAGGAGGCTGGAAACAAGGCCTTGCTAACCTGATAATGATAACAGTAGGCTCTTGATTAATACTATTTTTCCTTTAACTTTTAAGATATACATAAGACGTTCAGCCCAGTATAATTAAATTATGTACAAAATGGGAATGTAAGGTATTCATGGTGTGTCTGATCCAAGATCCTATGAGTTAATGAGAGTCCATTTTCTTCAAATGGCTTTAAATCACAAACTTAGTCACTGCCAAGATGCTCCTAGTGATGTGGTTTCCTCCCAAAATGTCCTAGTGGAATGCATTAAAATAAGAAGGGACTTGGAATCCCTCAGGCTACTGAAACAATTGGTCTGATAAGATGCACCAGTTTTACCTTTTACTTTTACTTTAGTCTGTGACATCCACACACCAGATACACTGCCTGTCTTTCTTTTGCCAACAAAGAGGAAAGATGTCTTAGTAGTCAGAACACTTGCTTGAGCTGTGGAAGACTGAGATTTGATATGAATCCCACCACAATATCTCTTGTGTGAACCTGGGCAGGTCATTTAGTTCTAGATGCCCCAAAATTGTTAGATGGCTACCTCTCATAGATTTCAGTCCCCAGGATGGAGATAGGCACCTAAATATCTTTCAGATTCTGCACCTTAATTTCTGTGCTTTAACTTACAAATAAGAAACTCATACTTCTTAACCTCACAGGGGAAGAGGGGTTGTAAGGATAAGTAATAAAGATTCAGAAGTACACAGAACCAAATGTTGGCAGAGCTTTTGCATACAGACTGAATCCTGGTTGTCGGACAAGCACGAATTTGCTGCTGTTGCATTTAAAATAGAAAGATTCCCCTTCCTTGTCAAGTATTAGACAGATGTAGCCAGAACCAGTCAAAGCATTCTAAGATATTTCATTTGTTCTCATTTACAAGAAGGAAACATCTCCCTACCACCTTGTGTGGAGCAAGACTTTGAGAGGGCTAGCACAGGAGAAGCAAATAAGCAGGCAGAACAGGGTTGGCACATGAGGGAAGAAGCAATCTGCTCCATCTAAACAGCCAAAGGTGGTTTCTCCCCTAACCTCGAGAGAACTTCTCATAGTTCTGTGCTCCAGTCAAAATTATATTACTATTTAGTGCTTGAGTAATGCACTTCACACTCTTGCTTAGGCATATGCATGGAAGATCTTGGTGTGACGGTCGCAGGACTCCATACAAGCAGACTCAACAGGTGTCTGACTAGACCTCTTACATGTACACATTGATCCAGAGGATTCACAGTTGCCTACTAGTACTTTTCAGCTTTTCCTTTTCTTGCTTTTTTCAATGGCTTACTTATTTTCCAGCCTAAATGCATGCTCAGTGTTTGTAGCACCACCAGTCAGGAACCTGCTCTCTGCTTGCAGATTAAACCATAAATATACCTCAGATGTGAATAGTAAATGAGAGATTCCACATCCTCCCTAGGTGATCTATTTCAGAGCTTAGCCAGCCTTATGGTCAGACCAATGATTCTCAACCAAGGTGATGGGGTACCCTAAGGGCTTCCACCAGAGCTTTTGAAAGGTGCCATGAGGTGTGAGGAAATAAGCAAGGAGTGAGAATACAAGTAGATAAATGCAAGCTTAGGCTTGTGTGTGCCTGGCTGATCCCTCACCCCCACTGTCCAGCCCGTCTTCAAGGAAGTAAGCACTGTAATAACTACATTAATTTTTGGATGCTACTCAAATCACAAAAGTTATGGAGGGGTGCCTCAAGTCCAATGAGGGGTGCTTCAAGTTCAATAACTAATGCTTCAAGTCCAAAAAGTTGAAAACCACTGTGTTAGATGGTTCTTCCTAACATCTAACATAAATAAAAATGGCTGTGACAGAAACTTGCTAATGAATAGGAGAAGATGTGAAATGCTAACAGATTTATGTTTGTGAATTACCTATTTGAAACCTATTTTAGGCTTCTTAAAATATATATATCCTACATTTTCTTAAAAGTCCAACAACGAACACCTTTAAATTCTGTTCTGCTGAATTTCTGATCACCTGTGAGAAATAATTGGGTAGATTCTGATGGCAAAGTTTTCAGTATTACAAGATTTTGTTCACAAAAGTACTATCCCTTCTTACGTACATAAATATGAGATGTACAGTTTCAATTGTCCTAGCTTTAAGTACAACTTTATCCATTCAGTAAAAAAGAAAGGTTAGCAGCATGCCATGGACTGTACCTGCTCACGACTGATTTGGCTCACCACAGCTTCATATGGAGGAGGTGGATCCAGAGGACAGAATACTTCAACTCCTTTCATTCTAGCTCCATAAATATGTGGCAATGGAATAACATCAGAACCGAGCGTTCTAGAAAAAATAATCTTGATATTATTCTTCTATTCAGTGGGTGTATCCACACAAGACATTTACTGTGGAGTTGCCCAATTAGCTCCTCAGTACATGTCTCAATGTCTACACGTGTGGCCCTATTAAGCCACAGGAAACAAATAAACTCCACAGCAGGTTAATACATGTAAATAAAAGTACTTTCCTGCTGCAGAGCTTTTTCATGTGCAGCAGTGCATGTGTAAACTAGACACTGACCCAGCTGGCTGGGGCACGATGGTGCTTCGGTGCAGGGGCTGCCTGCCATCTAGTCCTGTACTGGAACACCCTCGCACCCCAGCCACCCCTCTGTTACACGTTGAGCTAGGTCACAGCAGCCCTGGGCTAGCAGGCTGACCTTCCCAACCCCATGTAAACATGGCACCCAGGAGCAATAAACTCTGGCATGATAAGTACCGGAGTTTATAGTGTTGCATTAATATGCATGTGTAGATATGCCCAGTGTAGCTTTCTACCTTCAGAAAGTAACACTGAGCTACAGAATTTCACTGGGTTTGCTGTGGTAAAAGTAAATGAACTTATGGAGAACAAGTATGCAATGGGAAAAATATCTGGGAGTATTCCCAACCAGAATGTTGACCAGCACTCTGAAAACAACCTAAGAAGAAACCTACCCCAGGGAATCCACCTCGGCTTTAATAATGAATCTAGTTCATAAAAGGATAAGCATTTGGGTCCCAAGTAAGCAAAGTGACCTTCTAGAGTTGGGCATCTGAAAACAGAAGCAGCCAAAATCAGACACCTTTGTCTGCATGTACGAGTGATGGAAATCCCATTTATTTTTTTTAGAAAGAAATGTGCTCATGCCTTTAATGTCTAAATATAAGCACATAAAAACAGGGACCTTTAAGCTTAAGTTCTCCTTTTGAAACAACTGGCCTTGAGAATTTGCAGTGAATAATGATACATATAGATATGATTAACAAATCTTATTGTCATCTCATTGTTCAGTTTTTGATGCGTGTCCCCTGAAATGTGAAGTACAATACATTATTTTCACACTATGCTTCTTTTATAGAAAGCTAAGCCAGTAGAAAATAGTGCAGCTCTATTTTCTGACTGTCGAACCTGTTGTTGCAAATGTCAGTTCTGATTACATGTAATTATCCCACCACATTTAACATTTGAACAAACAAACATTGGAACTGACATACAAAGTAATGGTTTCCTGCAAAGTACTGAGGCCAGACTTTGATGCAGAGATACTGGGTTTTACAGTCTATACTGAAACCTTAGTTTTAAGCCAATTTTCAGCAACAGTTCACATTTTCTATTTCCAGATTGTGAAAATATATATTTTATATTGCACATAATTATTCAAAAAGGCCACTCATCCTGCCCCACTTATGTCAAACTATATTGGATAGATGACATGTTAATATGAGAGTTTGATCCCAAACCAAAAACTGGTAATCCAAACATTCTCAGACTTTAGGAAAGTCCAAATACAATCTCAGCTTCACAGCTTTGGCCATTTTTAGCTGATGTACTACAGAGAAATATGCTGTATGTTTGACCCATTTCTCCTTTCTCCTTAATTGTAAGGAACTTGTTTAGGCCCAAGGGCTGTGAGGGAAATGAAAATACCAAAATATATTTTTGAAGTGTTTGTGAAGAAGCTGAAAGGAGGCTGCAGGGGAGATGGATTAAAGGGTGATGCAGAGAAGGGAAGAGGAATATAGTCACCTGTTTGCAACTTGGGAGAAGGAGAAAGAAACCCAGAAACCAGGGTTCAGAGTGTTTTTCCTCCCTAAAAGTAACAAACTGTCATTTTGGAGAACTATGAAGGTGAGCATTTCAGGATTATTTTTTTTCATTACTTCTGTTTGCTAGAGGTATACTGAATCTGGGAAATTCTGTTTAAATGTCTGCTATGACAAATGAACATGCACCCCATAGGAACATGCACCCCGTGCACCTTAATGAACTTTTCAGTTTTATGCTTTTCGGAAGTAAGTTTAATCTGATCTAGCCAGGGTGTTCCTCTACCGTCGTATCCAAGATTTTATATTAGGTAACATCTTATTCGGAGGCATGGAATAGAAAAACATAAACCAGAAAATTTTTCCTGGTTAGTTCTTAAGCAGTTCCAAGGAATCATGGACAATTTGTTAGATTGTTTGTGATTTTTCAATTTCCATTCTATGTTTAGGGAGAGGAATTCACATGGTAGTGAGTCATGGAGTTTCTATCAGTCTAAGTAAGGAACTGTAGGCATCATTCATACTAATTTTTAACTTAAGTCAGGAATGTCAAATTCACTTAGCTCCCTGGGCTTGATCTGGACCAGAGGACATACTGCAGGGCAGAACTAGCAGTGGTAGAGGAGTGAAAAGTGCTGTCAGCTCAGAGAGCCATAAGGATTAACACAGCCATCACACACCTTCTTGCCACCAAAATGCATCCCCAAAAGGGTTGCATACCCCAAAATTCAGTGATAGGCCCTGCCCCCATGCACCCCACCCCAAAATTTCCAGCCCCTTCAAGAGCTCCACTGGGCTAGATCCTAGCTTAGAAAACCATTTCCTGAACATAAGTTATATCCCCTCTATTCTCCTTTACCAGCAACTACATTATGGTCCAAAAAGTTACAGTCAAGGGGATTCCCCCAAGGTTTTAATTCTGGGGGCATCAAAATTGACCCAAGTGAGTGCATCAGAAGTGGGGGACATTGACAATTAAGATGTGCCTTTGTGGTACGGTCTAACATCAAATAACATGGCAGTATAAAGCTTTCTGTGAAGAGGATGGCTGAGAGTAGAGAAAAAGAATTTAAAGCATTTGCCAGCTATTTTATGGTCAATAGCGTCTACTGATTAAGACCTATGGTAGAACTGTTCACTGCTACCTGGGGCGTCAGAGCAAAGAGTTTCCTTTTCCCTCCCCTACTGATGGAAGGAAAGACTCCACTCTATACCCCTTCCTCTCCTGCTGCCTAGAGGTTCAACAGATACAAAGCCACACTTGAGACCACTGCCATCATGGGCACATCCAGATGAGTGCGGATGTGTAGTATGTGGCACTGCAGACCCATCTGTGGTGCCACACACCGCATATACAGGCATTCTCCACACAGCTACTTTGCAGCATTGGGGGGGGAGGAGGAGGGAAGAGGCAGGCGGAGGGGAAGAGGGGGTTGATACCAGGAGATCCCAGGGTCAAAAAAACCCACAACAAAAAAAAAAAGCAGAGGGGCAGTGTGGCAGCATGCACTGCCAAAAACCAGAGACCTGACAGTTGGACCTATGCTCTGGATGCCAGCCAGGCTCCCTGCTGCACGATTGCTGCTGCTGCAGCTCCTGAAGGCCCCCAGGACCACAGGTAAGGCTGCTGGGGCCAGCATAGTTGCTGGCCCCAGCCTCCCTTAACCCACCCAGGTTAACCTGCTGCGCACCAGAGCATGCATGGTACAGGTGCTCCCTGGGGAACAAGCAGCAGCAGCAGCACAAAGTGTGCGCCGCTACTTGTTCCCAAGGAAACACATTCCCACTCATGGGAACATGCCCCATGTCTTCAGTTGAACCATGTCATTGGGACTTCATCCTTACAGAATCTTTCAAGTTTTTTGTTAATGATACCATGTCCAATAACCATAAAAATAACAGCAGTCACCAAGATATGTAGCAGCTAAAAAAAGAAAAGCACACGATGGTACTGTTTAAATACATAGGCTTTCATAGAATCATAGCAAAAAGTTCTGGAATGGACCTTGTAAAGTTATCTAGCACATCTCCATGCCCCAACGCATGAACAACCATACATTTGTCATTTTGGAGAATGCCTTCAATCACTAATTTAGCTTTCAAGCCAAATGGCAATGGAGTTTCTAGCAAGAAGCGCACTACTCAAAATGAACTCCCTCCATTCATCTAATTCACGCACAGCAAAAAAAAAATCACACCACCTGACTGTTTCTTTTCCAGGGTGTTCCTCCTGTAGAAGCCTCCATAAAATCTATATCAGCTAAAGCTGTCATGTAATTCTTGAAAAATTACTTAATCACTATATTTCCATACGTTTAAGGAGCAGGATTATAGGTAGGAGTGAAATATAGACCATCCATAATACTAGTTTGCTGTATGTATATGCTTGACACTAAATAAAACAAATTTAAAAGGCTTCAGGGATAGCACAGGCCATGAACGAACAAATAAACAAATCCATTGGCTTCATAAGGAGTGGATTTGGCTCTGCAGTTTAAAGGGTGGAGAAGAATATGTGCCTGTTCCAAATGTGTCCTTGGCCTGCGTTTTGGTCACTGCCCTGTTTCCTTTCTACTGGGGATGTATCTGGTTTGGAGGCTCCCCAAATGTGCTTCACAGATGGAGTTTCCATCCCTTTAATGTAGTTTCTGAGCTATTCCCTTTTGTAGAGGGGTGATCTGGTTTTGGAAGATGAATCCACTGGAATCCCAGCATAGAAAGGCAGGTCACTGACAATCTTGGATTAGATGCACATGCTGGGGAAGGAGAAGGTAATAAAGACAGAAAGGTCAGATCAAGTCTAAAATCACACACTGCTGGACACCATGGATCCAAACAGGGTGATTCATATTTCCTAATTTGCCAAGAAAGGAAATTAAATCTGTCTGTTGCTTTCTACTTCTGCACTCAGCACCCTCTCATAATGCAGTGTAACTGAACAACAGGTCCTTTAATGTACTGCACACTAACTCCTCTTGTCAGTGACTCATGAAATTACATTCCCATCTTCTGATAGCCCTAAGCCTAATGTAACATCTCTAAAACAGATTAACAGTGATAAAAATATTTTTACTTTCAAAAGCCTTTATTGTATGTACAGCAAAATAAAATGTCACTCTAAATTTGCTAAGAGACATGAAACTCTGTTTAGGAACAATCAACTAAATGGTAGGGGAAGAAACTGCTAATTTATGTCCCACCCTAATCTGTTGTCATAATTCAATTAATCAAACCTGACTACCTAACAGACCTATTCCTATATGGTCATCACACAGCTATGAGGCACAAGGCCATGATTCTGTCTCATCTGAAAGACAGCACCTCCAACAGTACTGTGCACCATCTTTTTAACGAATGTAAAATTAGAGTAATCCAAAGAGGATTTTTCTCTGCAGTATAAATACCTTATCACCACTTTAAAGAACATCTCTCTGAATGTTTTTAACAATTGTGATATCAGTTAATTGTTAAACTTATAGTACTGCCACAAACAAAAATGGGAGTACCACTGTGTTAGAGGCTGTAAGTATGCAAATAAATATTCCTACCAGGAAGAGTTTAGCCCCTGAAATGACATATCAGACAAAGGAAGAAAGTAGTATGATCCTTTTTACAGAAGAGGAACTGAGGTATACAGTGATTATGCTTCCCTGGAGAAGCACATGAGTATACTCTACCCTTGCATAGATCTCTTTTCACTGTTAGGGTTTTGCTGCCTTGCCCAGGCTCTCAGGTGTCCTAATCCAGTCTCTTATTCACAAAACCATCACAAAATGGCAATATGAGACCTAGACTACCATTTACTAGATGAGACATTTTATAGAACCTTGATTAGTGCACTGTCACTGGGGGGTCTGGGAGTCAACCTATATCATTCTCCCTGAAACAATGGAATAAGCTAAACTAGGGGTGGGCAATTATTTTGGGTGGACAGCCACTTACTGAGTTTCGGCAAACCATCAAGGGCTGCATGACAGGCAGCTAGGGGCAGAGAAATATTAATTTTCTAAATTTTTTAGGGGCTCCATGGGCTGGATAGAATGGCCTGGCAGGCCGCATTTTGCCCACCCCTTAGCTAAATAGTTTCAACTAGCTGGATTCAACTCTGAGAAACACGATTTTAAAAAAATGAGTAGATGCTAAAGAGAGGGCAAAATTGGACTGCATCAGCATTGTATCTAGAAAAGCAGAGCAGTCACAGCAGGATCATTGAAGGTACAACCTCATGGTGAGCAGGTAGAACCTCAGGTGAATCATATGACAAGATAAACTCAGCATCTTGGACTGTCATATGTTGCTATGTAGTTGCTGATCATGCAGACTGCTATCCAAAGAATCCCTGGAGAAGTCCCAACATTTACAGATTATAAACACTCTGGGACATAGACAGTCTTTACTACTATTTGACAGCCCTTGAAACTGAAACAATTTTTTATGCTCAGGAGAAAAGGACAAATTCTTAGAACTGCTCATTTGGTGCCTACTGCAGGTTAGGAAAGGGCCTGCAACTCTGAGCTTTAAGAAGCATCTTACAGTATATGCTGATTGCAAGCTTTACTCAGGCTCTTGCTGTATGGAGGGAGAGGGGGAGGGGGAGGGTGGAAGGGTTCCCCAAATCCATCTACGCACAACAGCCTCTCTCCTGACTTGTCAGGAACGTTATGCTAAAGTCTGAATGCGGCTCTCCACCAATCTGGTAACCTGTGAATGTGTAGTGAGTACAGCACCAATGAGAACCCAGTAACCTGAGTATGGCTTTGTAGCAGTGTTTATTTACACTCAGGTTAGCTATGCAGCAAGGGCAAATCTTTAGGTCAGTCTCAGTAGCTCTACTGATGGGTAGGCAAGGCAGTCCTGGAACACAAAAGCACTTTTCCCCAGGCACATTCTGTGCACCAGGGGGACAAGTGAAGGTGGTTCACAATGCTGGCTTACGTTTTAATATTTCTTTGTGCTCTAGAAGCATTGCATAGCAGTTGAATATGCCCTTCTGTCTCCAGCTTGGCTCAGTTAATACTCTTTACAACATCACATAAGCTCTCAGTCATACCAAATTACAGTACTTCTCTTACTTTAAAGCAAGCTTCTGTATGATCATAGGCAAAAACTGCCAAATTATGACCTCAGGCCAGACTGGAATTACAGTAGCTTCACTGTTCCCTAGGCCACCCAGTCTTTCAAGAAAATGGTAGTACTTCACAATGAGTTATAGCACAAAATGTTTTTAATGACGTGAAGCTATCCAGAACAGACACCAAAAAAGGAGAAGAGATACATCTTTACCTGCGATTCATTCTGGGTGTGCAAGAATAAAATGTTGCAAAATATGATGGAGGTGGTACAGGTGGAACAAACTCTTCAGGATCTGAACTGTGGTGTTGTTCTTCACCTTCCTCTGCAGATACCTGAGATTCATCCTAATTAAATGCAATCTTTGTTAATAAAAACGCTTCTCCTTACCAATGTAATAAAAAAAGAAACCCACCACCAAATCTACAACATTGCTGGTTTATCATCATCACAGTCACTATAATTATTAGATAGCGCCTTGCACTCACTTACTATGCATGATCGTCTTGTTGAAAGTATCTGAAGGTAACGCAGGGCAGCTGCTACCAAGCAAACTGTGGTGGTCAGAGCGTTCAAGGCGCACAGAGCAAAAAGAACTTTCTGAAGAACAAACAGTTGATGATAATTATAAATCAAAACATCTGCAAATGTCAAAAAGAGCAAGATGAAGACAGTTTTTAAATCTGTATTTGACTCAGTCTTCCAGCTGGACAATTCCTGTAATATGGCTAATGTCTATGGGCCAACAAGGATCCATTAGATACAGTACAGATCAGGGAGGGTTTCAGGTTACTGGAAAGTGATTCAAAACCTTTCCAAGCCAGGTGTTCTGGTACTCCTCACCTGCTCACTGTGGAAAACCTAGCTGTGACAGAATAATTATGATAAAGAACACAAGGGACTTTTCCAACTAATGGATGTTGTCTTGGCTGTTGTGATGTTATAGCTGTTGGTAACCCAGGATGGCCTGAGCAAATCTGAACAAATGACAATGGATCACATTTTATTTGATCCATTTGACAATGGATCAAATACCTTAACTAGGTTTTACCTAGTTTACCACTTTCAAAACTGTCTAAAGTCAACTGAAATAGAAAGGTCAAGATGCAGGTGCTGGTTTTCATTTATGGCACAGGGGTTTGTGTGCTGAGCTGCTGGCATAAAGATTGCGAGTTGAAAACTGGGTGTGGACACAGAGACACTGCTGGGAAGTGTCTCTCCAGTGGACCTGAGAAAACATTTTGCTGGGAAAAGATGGGATCAACCTGACTTCATCTTGGGAGAAAAATCCAGCATCATACTTACAGGCTATGCTCACTAGCACTGCGACCAAAAGAGACTCGGGGGTCTTGATTGGCCACAAATTGAGCATGAGCCCCCAGTGCGATGCCATGGCTGGCAGAGCAAACCAAACTCTGGCATGCATCCACTGATGCATCTCAAGCAAAACCAGGGACATCATCCTCCCGCTTTACTCAGCCTTAGTGAGGCCACAGCCGGAGTATTGTGTCCAGTTTTGGGCCACCCACTCCAGGAGGGATGTAGATAAGCTCGAGAGAGTCCAAAGGTGAGCCACCTATATAATCAAAGGCCAAGAGAGCAAGCCTTATGAGGAGAGGCTGAGGGACATGGAACTCCTTAGCCTGGCAAAGAGAAGGCTCAGGGGCAACTTGGTGGCTGCCTATGAGTATTTAAGGGGGGTGCATCAGAACCTGGAAGAACACTTGTTCACCAGGGCTGCCCAAGGGATAACTAGGCCACAAACTTCCAGAAGGCTGATTGAACAAACAACTAGGGAGGAGTATACAAGTATTGCTCAGACATTCAGGGATGAAGTCAGGAAGGCCAAAGGACAACTGGAGTTGTAACTAGCAAGGGATGTGAAGGGTAACAAGAAGGGTTTCTACAAGTATGTCAGTAACAAGAGACAGATCAGGGAAAATGTGGGTCCCTTATTGAATGGGGGAGGCAACCTTGTGTCAGAGGATGCAGAAATGTCTGAAAAGGCTCAATGCCTTTTTCACCTCAGTCTTCACAGGCAAGATAAGCTCCCAGACTACTCCACCAGGTAACACAGTTTGTGTGGCGGGGGCGAAGGGAGAGGTGAGCAGCCCTCAGTGCTGAAAGAACAGGTTAGGGACTACCTAGAAAAGCTGGATGTATACAAGTCCATGGGGCTCAATGGGATGCACCTGAGGGTGCTGAGTGAGTTGGCTAATGTGATAGCAGACCCACTGGCCATCATCTGTGAAAACTCATGGTGATCAGGAGAGGTCCCAGGATGACTAGAAAAGGGCAAACATAGTGCCCATATTTAAGACAGGGAAAAAAAGGAGGATCCAGGAAACTATAGACCAGTCAGTCTCACCTCAGTCCCTGGAAAAATCATGGAACAGATCCTCAAGGCATGCATTTCTAAGTACTTGGAGGAGAAGAAGGTGATTAGGAACAGTCAGCATTCATTCCCCAACGGCAAGTTATGCCTGACCAACCTGATTGCCTTCTATGACTGGCTTTGCGGATATGGGGAGATTAGTGGATGTGGTATACCTTGATTTTTAGCAAGGCTTTTGATAGGGTCTCCCACAACATTCTTGCAGGCAAGCTAAGGAAGTATGGGTTGGATGAATGGAATGTAAGGTGGATAGAAAACTGGCTGGAGCATCGGGTTTAGAGGGTAGTAGTCAATAGCTCAATGTCTAGCTGGCAGCTGTTATCAAGTGGAGTGCCCCAGGGTTCAATCTTGGGGCTGGTTTTGTTCAATGTCTTTATCAAAGACCTGGAAGATGGCATAGAGTGCACCCTCAGCAAGTTTGCAGATGATGCCAAGCTGGGGGGAAAGCAGTCGATATGCTGGAGGTTGGGGCTAGGATTCAGAATGACCTAAACAAATTGGAAGTTTGGACCAAAAGGAATCTCATGAAGTTCAACAAGGACAAGTGCAAAGCCTGCTCTTAGGACAGAACAATCCCATGCATCAGTACAGGCCAAGAGTTAACTGGCTGGGCAGCAGCTCTGCAGAAAAGGACCTGGGGGTTACAGTGGACAACAAGCTGAATATGAGCCAGCAGTGTACCCTTGTTGCCAAGAAGGCTAACAGCATATTGGGCTGCATTGGTAGGTGGGACAAAAGCCTGGCAGGGCCTGCCCCCCCAGGCAAACCCTGGCTGGGATCTGGGGCTAGGGAGGGGAGGAAGGGGGTTTAAACCTGCTCCCTCCCCACCTCACCCTGTGAGACCCTGGCTGGGTCACAGCCACACCCCCCACTCAGGCAGGGAGTGGGGACCTGGCAGGGCCTGCCCACCTCCCCAAGGCAGACCTGGGCTGAGGTCCCATGCCACCAGGGACAGGGTTTAAACCCCTGCCCTCCCCACCTCAGCCTATGAGTCCCTGGCTGGGGTGTGGCCACACCCCTCACTCTCCACTCAAGGTGGGGGTGCAAAACCCTGGCAGCGGCTGCCCCCCACCTTGAGCAGGGGACAGAAGCCTGGGGGGGGCTGTCCCCCCAGGCAAACTGGGGCTGGGGTCCTGTGTAAGCCTAGGAGGGGGTTTAAATCCCCCTCCCCACACCTCAGAGTGGCAGCCCCAGGCTGGGGTCTGACCAGGCACCTCACTCTTCCCTCAAGCTGGAAGGCAAAAGCCTGGCAGGGGCTGCCCCCATCACACCCTGGCCAGGGTCCCATAAGGGACTGAGAGGGTGCTTAAAGCCCCTCCCTTCCTGCCTCAGTGTATGAGCCCCTGGCTGGGGTGTAGCCAGGCCCCCTGCTCTCCGCTGGGGGGGAGGCAAAAGCTTGGCAGGGACTGTACCCCCATCAACAGGGAGCAGGACAGCACAAGCCTGGCAGGGGCTGCCTCAGTTCCCTCCACCAGATAGAACCCAGCTGGGGTCCCCTGCAGGGCGGGGATGGGGTATAACTCCCCCCCTCCCGCCCTCTCAGCCTGGGCCCAGAGCAGGGAGTGAGGGATAAGCCTAGCAGGGATGTCCCCCACCACCCCCAAGACAGACCCGGGCTGAGATCCCATGCAGGCCAGGGAGGGGGATCTAAAGGCCCCTCCACTCAAGCAGGGAGTTGGGGGAAAGCCTTGAAAGGCTCCTCTCCCCGCTTCCCTTTGGCAGTGGCTGGGAGGCATGCTCTAGTGCCTCCAAGCTTCCGCCCTAAGCCACTGTAGGTACGTGGCTGCATTTCTGGAATCCAAAGTGAATGTTTGTTCACTTGCTTCTCGGTTCAATCTACACAGTTTAGATTCACCTGTAAAGACTGAATTGATTTAGTCTCTGGCTTTTTGACTGTCTGTACTTAGCCTGAGAGGAAATAGATTGGAAGGCAATGAAATTGCCACAGTGCAAAGGGCAATACATTTTAATACTGATTTTCTAACTGTCATGTGAAGATGATCAAGGAATTGATTTTTATGAGGAAGGTACCTTGAGTAGAAGGTGAACAGCACTACATGACTGAACTGGGTACAGCTTCAGTGCATTCTCTTTCTCTGTACATTTTGCTGGATGAAATTCTTCACAGCAGAAGCATATCTTACTTTCACCCAGATCCACCTTTAACAGCAAGGGAAAAATGTGAATTACTGTTTAATTTAGGAGGCAATTTTACACTGCATTGCTGCTTAGTATATTGCTAAAGATGTTCTGACCATAGCACAGAGCTAATTACATGCTTAGAAAATCAAATCTGTGTAAGTCAGTATGCCAGTGATTCACCCATTATAGAACTGTTACAGTTGACATACTCGTTTATTTATCTAAAAAAAATAGAATTTTATCAATAGACCCTTTTGAATTCACTTCTTATTTAAACACTGAATCACATAGACTTGTTTTCAATGACATCAATGTCTGAACAGTCTCCTTTATTCGTACACTAATGCATTTAGTTTTGAAGATTCTTTTTTGACCAAAATGTAAGCCACATTCTGTATTTGCCACCATTGGGTGGTTCATAGGCACAATATTATACATCTAATTGTATCCTGAAACCCAGGGCTATATTTCCATCTCTTCCAACCCAGTAGTGACTATACCAGTGTACCATTATGATGTTTTCAACTTTCAGGTTCATCTTATAACTCTATTTATGAGTAAAAATCAAACACATATTTATTTATTTGTCTATTTATTTATTTTATTTTTATAGCCAAGTCTCTGACTATTTTAATCATCTGCTTACTACTCACAAATCACAACACTGGAGGTATTTGCCTTAGTGTATGGGAAATTATACAATAGTCTTACCATTTCAGGAACTTGTAAAGGCTGGAGCCTATGCTTTCATACAGAAATGAGAACTGAGGTTCTCAGTCCAATATTTAAACATTTTGTCTATATTATTATTATTTTCCCCAATTCTTTTTTCAATAACTAAATGCTTGGGCTGACCTTGACTGCCAAACTGCTTTTAAGCACTGCAATCTGATTATATTACTCCAGATGATATGTTAAGAAAGCTCCACTGGCTTCCTGTGAAGCAACAGAGTGATTTTTTAAAAGATTTTCCTACTAATATCCAAGGACCTCATAAATTCTATCAGGTCACACCCATTTTACCTGTGGGATCTCTTCCATCTTAGCATCCTTCAGTTACCCTGGCAGTATGGGCTTAAATGCTGGAAAAGATCAAGGAACTGATTTGTTCATTGGTCAAAATATCCTTTACAGGTTTCTTGATTTAAGATCCTGGATCAGCAGCTCATTAAAACCCCAGTACAGCAAAACAATGAAGTATCTACTTAACTTAAAGCATAAAAATGTTAGCATAAAAAGCATATATTTCAGTGAAACAATTCACAAATTTTAAGTCAAGCATATGCTTAGGTGCTTTGCTGAATCTAAGCATAAATCAGCATGTATTATTTTTATTTTTTCTATTCTATGGTTGCATTCATATTCTCTTGACATACTGCCTACATTGATCTATACATTAGCATATCTTGGAAGCTAGCAATACCAGCTTGCTATATTAGCTCACCAGATCACATCTGGGTACACTGGATACAAACTGAGCTCCTTGACATCCTAAAATAAATCCAGCCAGGTTCAAAAGGACACAGACGACAGACAGCAAGATGAACAGGTTAACCTGAAACAGCAAAATGCACTTAACAGCAGTGAAAACAAAACAATGAAATATACTATAAGGAAGCTAATGCAAAATACTGTAAAATATGTGGACTGAAATTCTGGCTCCCATGAAGTTAATGGCAATACTACTCCCATTGACTTCACTGAGGGCTGGGATTTCAGAGTGTCTCACTAAAAAGTATTTCCTTTGTCAATTATTTTGGAGAATAACTTTGTGCAGAACTTGCTATGTCCCCCTCTTCTTCACAGAGTTCACAGTAGCAGATTATATGCACTACCATTCAGATATAGATAAGTACAGGTAATGTATGCCCCCGACAAAAAAGTTAAGTTTAAAAAATCTGAACGACTTTTTGAACCAAGTTTTTAACATTATTTTTCTACTGGCAGGTGAGAGATGTTCAGACAGTTCCTGTAAATTGTCAAACACCCTTGGAAGGCCGGCATCTGACTAGATGAAAGATGGTCCTGAAGGAGAAAAGCATGAGATATAGAGTTCCTGACTCTACTTTGTATCAGTCTCAGCTCATTTTCATTTTTTGGAAATCTGAGGCAAAAACATCTTGAAGCAACATTTATCCAACAGAAGCAATTTGTAAAATTGTTTTTCAGTACTAATGCTTTAAAATAACTGAAATAACAGAACAAGGGCACAGACACAATCAAAGGATTTCAATTATAATATTTTATTTCCCCTCAGCTACTAAAAATAGAATCCTGCTCTTCCCATAACAGACAATGCTTTTTGGTTTGCAAAACAGTCCTGACAGACTCGCAGTACCATGAACAACAGAGCACCAAGAGAAGGCAAGTAGGAGTGGTAGGTAAAATAATAAAGTCCTTCTATTGTCCTATGCTCTCAATATCCTTTGCAAGTGCCCAGCACGAGACTCAATAAATGAGGATTAAAACATAGTATTAGATGTTTTACTCTGCTCAGGTGGAAAACACTATATTTTAGGAGTTGCAGTATTTTCACTTTGCTCTGTTCATATCATAAAACCATGATGATGATAAGATATTTCACATCCCTAGTCCATTCTCTTATATTTTCCCCTCATGAACACCAAATTGATTTAAATATTTCTAAGTATTCAGTCATTAAACGCAAAGTTCAATCAATACCCACTTCTTGCACTTTCAGCAAAATTACCTCAGTTACCTTGACACACAGAAATAACTCAAGAGCACATGAAAGTGCCCACACGCATCTCATGCTAAACATGCTTTCCAAGTCCATTCACTCTAATATACCATCCACTTAAACCCTAGTCAGTTAAATGGATGAGTCAAACATACTTTCCTGTAATATACTTGCCCTTGAATCTACCTATGGTCTTGCACTTGCACTTTCTTAAAACATTTTTCTCTCCACTTGTCATGTGAAAAATTCCCACAAATGACAAGGGAAACACACTTAGTCTAAAGCTGAATTAAATAAACTACAGGAAACCCTTGCTATTTGCAAACTCTGGGAGGCGGGCGGAGAGCGAGCGCTGGGGACATGGAGGGAGGCAGTGGCGGCAACATCTTCTTCCATGGCGGCAGCTGCGGCAGTGCTCAGGGGGAAGGGGTCGGTCCCCAGGTGCTGTGGGGGAGCCCTGCGAACAATGTGGGGTAGAGCAGGGGGCGGCTGTGGGGTCTGATGGGGAGCCTTGCCAATATTTGCAGATTTCGCCATTCGCAGGGAACTCCAGAACGTATCCCCTGAGAACGGCAAGGGTCTCCTGTATATACAAAGTGATATCAAATATACAAAGTAAAGAAACTAAGAGATATAGAAAAATATCAAACCCATGTACATTTTCAGATCCAATAAGTTTATAAAAATATTTAAATCTTTAGTAACCTTTTCAGTCATAAATCTCAGAAAATTTAGGTAGCAATATTTCCTTTTAATTGATTGGAAAACTGGGGATAAGACACTGAGGAAGCAATATTCACATTTCCCTTGAATTCAGAAACTGTTCTACACAGAAACAAAAACATTAAACTGTATCTGGATGGTCCATGAAGCAAAGTACAAAGAAAAATAGGGGCATCTCTACACTGCCTCTGTGGCAAGCCCAGGAACACCCTCCAAGAAGCCCAATGGCCTACTTGGTCCCATTCAGTGCATGTTAGTACCCAGAAACTAGGCACTGTAGTAACACCCTGAGCATGCTTTGGTAGCTGCTCTTAGTTTAAGGCCCCCTCTATTCATTAGAGGTATCATGCAATTAACTGGTTAATTGTGCAATTACCTTAAGACCAGCTATACAGGCAAAATAGCTATCACATGATAAAAAGCTCCAACCAACTGTAAAGTTACACCTCAAAAATGTGTACTGACTTTACAGCTGGTTGCTATCAAGCTTTAATTTGCATGTGTACCAGGGTCTCCCCTGTGGATGGGGGCCCCATCAGCTGACAGATCTCCCAGATGCAGGGATGCACCATGCCCAGTGTGAAACCTCTGAGTGCTGGGGATCACAGCTACCAGGATTCCCAAGGCTCAGGGGTGTGTGAAACCCCTAGCTCACTCGGGGCGCTCGGTCCCACTGTGCATGGTCCCTGTGGCTGGGAGACCCATTAGCAAAGGCAGCTCCCAGCTGTGGAAGCCTGCTTCTTGCCAGTGCAGGGGGAGACCAAGATCAGGCTCCCCCAACATGGCAATAAGGCACAATTGATTCTAATGTGCAATCCCCTAAATGTGCCTTCTATCATGCATGTTTGGCATGGCACGAGGTGCAATTGTGTGGATCACACATTAAATCCAGTAGTGCCTTTACCTGCACTTGTACAGGGGTCCTGAGGTGTGCTGCTTACTGCACGTTCAAGGATGTGTTTAACTGGCCATGCTGCCTAATTTCCAAACTGTGGTGTGTTAGGTATACATCTTGGTGGCACTTCTGGGCTCACAAGATAGTCCAAATGTGCCCTAGGACTCCTAGTGGTTTACAAACCAGAGGAAATTCCTGTTTTAATTTCCTTGAGAAAGTAATGGACTTGCCACTCCTCACAGTACTAATATCTGCCTTAATACACTGACCTTAACTTCCTCAGTCATAAACAATGCCAAGGATCCATTAGTACTGTATTCAGTCATTCAGTCTGCATAGATTCCAGGCAGCTCATGCACGATGTGCTGACACATCAGATCTTAGTAAATTAAAGTTTAACCCTTTCCTCTTTACATCAAATGCACTGGTCTAGAAACTCGACTGATGGTTTACATTGCTTAAAAAATGAATTATGTAATCGGTCAGAGCTGACTTAACTAGGACCATGCACCCATACAAAAGAGAAATATGGAATAAAGGTGCCCCTTACACAGGGCAGCTGGCTAGGCCATGTTCCTAGTAGCATAAGCCAGCACCCAATTAATTCCTCCATCCTAGGGAGCAACAGAAAAACAGAGAAGGAACTGTGATTCAAAAGTGTGTTTCATAACAGAACAATACCTTTTGCAGTTACTCCTGAGGGGGCAGAGTTTACACACCATCTTTTTTTGCAGCCATACCTTAAAGCTGTGGTTCTCAGCCCTTCATAGACTCAGGACACCCTTTGTTAGACTCAAGACAACCCTTAGAAAATACCTCAGCTCTTAGTTATCATACATTTTTCTGATTACAGAAATATAATAGAGCTATTTTCTGTTGCACAGAACTCACAAGGACAACAGGTCAGAATATTTTTAACACTGTGGATCCTATTTGAGATATCAGAGTTTATTTTGTGAATCACACTGAACACCTAACAGTGCTAACACCACATGGCACCCTGTGGCACCCCTTGAAAGGGTCTCAAGGCACCCCAGGGTGCTAGATAATCATGGCCTTAAAGTTACAGCCTACCTTTTCACAGATATTTAAACCTATTCTTTTCAAGTTAGTTACCTGTTACCAAAATCAAGAAAACTGGGTATTCATGCTTTGAGGAAAAATTCAAGTCCATATACAGCTTAGGCAAATTTATCTGAATCAGCAAGAGTTAACATATGGAAGACACCAACAAAGATAAACAAGCTATTTTAAAAATC